ATAGTAAAATTACATTCTTGGAGTATTTAAAGATGACATTATAACAATGTTATGTTCTATTTATGATTTACAAAATGACCATAAATATAAAATGTAATTTATGCCATTGTGTATCCTTTAATAAGTGAGAAAACAATCTACATATATAAACTCGCTCCTAATTTTTCCCTGCTCCAACGCTTGAGATCTGTCCCTATTCTCCATACAGCATCCAGAATAATTTTAGAAAAATAAAAATCTAATTATGTCATTCTTTTGTTCTAAACCCTTCACTAACTTTCCATTCTTCTAGAAGCAAACCCAGCCCCCTTACCATGCCCACCAGGGAGTTACGTGGCACACCTCTCTCTTACCAAGATGTAAACTCTCCTGTCACCTTTCTCCTGCACCTGAGCATGTTCCTGCCTCAGACCTTTTTTGTAGGTGTTTTGTTTGTCTAAAACACTCCCCCCTTGCACCTCCTCAGCCTGTCCACATGCCATTACCCACAAAGAAGCTACCCTCACCACACTATCTAGAATAGAATAAGGGAATATAGACTGGTGGAGAACTCTAACAACCTCATCACGATCTTAAAGTCTGTGAATATTTTTTTTCTTTATTTTCTGTTGCTTTCTTGGGGGAAGTTATTTTTTAAATTTACCTTATTTTTTACTACTTCAATCATAATGCTTCTGAGAATGTTGTCACACAGCAGATGCTTGGTAGATATTTGTGGAATTGTTCTCTTTTGAGCTTCTGTAGCTCTCTATTTACAGCCTTATCACATACCCTTTAAAAAACTGTATCATAATTTGAAGTTCTTTTTCCCACTCAATAGACTGTGAGCCCCCAGAGGGAAAAAGACCATAATATTCATCTCTGATTTTCCACTGCTCAGTAAAGCCTTGAGCTCATAGGGTGATTCATAAAAGTCTATTTAATGAATTGATGTTTACTTGGTCCCATTCCCTAAAGAAGCCATTTGGGAACTCTGCTGTTTCCCCAAAGCATTAGCTAGTAGAGATACTGAGCACTATGGTGATCAACTGTCTTGCACTGGGGATGTTGACAGCAGTGGCAGTGGACTATGCAGTCCTATGCTACCCGCAGCAGCCTAAGGAGTTCTTTCAGAGACCTCTACTCAGAGAAGCTGGAGTTCTTGACTACGTAATGAGAAGAACTGTAGGATGAATCAGTGTGAAACAAAGTTGAAGCACATTAAGATGAGATTTTTAACACAGGTTTAAGCTTGATTGATAATACAAGAGACAGGGACACTCAGTATAAAGATAGTATGTACCCAAGTGTGAGTGGGAGCTTCTCAGGGTTAAATGTTTATACAACAGTCATTTATAAGATTTTGGTGGCTTCTGGGTAAAGGATTTCTAGGGAAACAACTCCCTCCTCCTCCTCCTCCTCCCCCTCCTCCTCCTCCTCCTCTTCTTCTTCTTCTTCTTCTTCTTCTTCCTCTTCTTCCTCTGTAAAGGAGACCATAGACACTATAAAGTGGTTCCTAAGAAGTGTTGGATGGGATTATAGGCAAATAAGATAAAAACAGGCCAAAAGGGTCAAAGAAAACCTTACTCTACTAGGTCACAATGGAGTTAAGATATGCTTTGACTGTAAGCAAAATTAGTGATCTTGTCTGTGGGATTCTCACCAAGTTAGAGGTTACAGTAGGTAGAAAAGTAAGGTTAAACTCCAAGGTCAAATATGCTTTGGCCATAAGCATAGTACTTTGCTTTTTTAACATTTGAAACATCTCCCTATAGGAAGAATATTGTTCTTTGCTGAAGTTCTTGGCTTAGCTGCTGAGAGGCTTCACCTGGACGCTGAGTGAAGGACTGCTTTCCCTGTCTACATACCCTTGACTTACCTGCTTTTCTGCTTTGACTCAGGTACAATAGAGCCATTTCTAGTTTAGAAAGTAGTTCGGTAACATTCAACAACTATATTAAATCTCAGACTATGATGTTCATAGCTAAAAGCATGATGATTTGCACATGGAAAATATAATTTAAAACAACAGCAGAGTATCTTAGAATTTGCAGATTTCAGTATCAGTGATGTCTAGCCCCATACATTATTTTACTTATGAGGCAGTGTGCTGAATAACTTCAAGTTGTCAACTTGACACACCTAGGAAGAGAGAACCTCAGCTGGGGAATTGCTTCTAGTGGATTGGCCTGTGGCTATGTCTCTTGATTGTTGAGTGATGTGGAATAGGTGGCCTGGGTTGTAAAAGAAAGCATGCTGAGCACAGACCACAGAGGCAAGTCAGTAAGCAGTGCTCCTTTTTGCTTCAATTCTTACCTCCAGGTTCCTGCCTTGAGTTCCTACCCTGACTTCCCTCTGTTACTGGAAGCATAAGATGCAATAAACCCTCTATACCCCAAGTTGATTTTGGTCCAAGTGTTTATCATAGCAATAGAAAATAACTAGGATAGGAAGCTATGGACAGACAGAAGGTGCTGTCTTCTCACATGCTAACAAAGCCAGAGCTAGGGTTAGGATACCTGAACTGCAGTTCAGTTCCTTCTCCATGGGACCAGTCCTGTGTATGTTACTCAGGTTTTCTGATCCTGATCATCCTGCCAGAGAAGCCATAGAAAATTGAATGAAAAGGCAGATGGATGGCATTTTGAGGGGGCAGCATCAAGCAGTGGTGACCAGGCTGACCCGAATCCCCAAGGACTGTTGGACAGTCCCTGCTTGTGGATCCTAAGATGCACGCACCTGATAGTCAGATGGCAGGTCAGTGAGACCATTACCAGTGTAGTGTCAGGTGTTTACGAATATTTTAACTTTCCTTGGTCTTATATATTCAATATGTTCACAGGGATTTTTTTTCTATTATAGTTTTAATATATCCATGTGCAATGCACCCGCATGCTCCCTATGTACTTTGGTAAGTTCATAGTTTATAACCTTTTACCTGCATGAATAGGTTATTCATCAGTCCATGTCTTGTGGCATATGCTGGGCAAGTGGTGGTGTCCACATGCACAAATGGTGCAAAGTCATTCTGCCTCTGCGTTCGTATACAAAATGGAATGAAATGCGCTTTGTACAATGGAATTACCCAGGACAAATGACAGCCTGGAGGCTACTGTTTGGCACAATGGGGACTAACTTAGAGCAGGGCAGCCTGATCTCCATATATATCATATACCACAGAATGAGAAATGGTTCAGATTATGGATAGTTTGTTTGGTCCATTTTCTTATAAAAATACAAAAAAAAAAGAGCAAACAAAACATTTGTGAATGAATCTATTTTAGTAGAGACAATCAATTGTTACTTAGAAATCAGTTGCTACTTAGAAAACTGAAAACTAGAATTGTCTCCAATAGGTGATTATAATTTCTATTTAATTATGAGAGGCTGAGACAATAGCTCAAAAAATTTTGTAGATTGATTTATTTACTGGCCTATATGATGCATCTAGTCAATGCATTTCATTATCCAGCATTCACTTGATGGTTCCCTTTTTCATTCAGCAGGTAAATGTTCTTCCTTTGTCTTTCTATACCTGGAGCAAGTCATACCATTTTCCTCATGAATTGAAATGGTGTGTTTACATTCCATTTTTTTTTTCCTGAAGGTTCCATTGCTGGTAATGGAGCCAGCATCCTCCCAAACAGGCTCCAGCACCTTCTCTATCTATCAGTTTCCAAATCCTGTTGGCTTTGCTTTTGCATTTCTCTGCTGTTATATGTGGCTGACTCTGAGAAGCATCAACAAAACAGTGTTTTTTGTTTTGTTTTGTTTCTTGCCTAAAGCTGCGATTAGGTGAGGGAGCTAGGTGTGTTCAGGCTTGAGAGACTGTGGCACCTTTCCTCCCCTTTTCCCCATGTACCCGAGAAAACACATTTTTTCACATTTATCACAACCTTGTAATCAAGAGTAAAAACTCTGGACCAAGGCTTCCTGGATTTGGACCTCTGAGGCCAATTTGGAGCTCTACTGTTGTTGGTTGTGTGAACTTCAGTATTTTCTGCCTCAATTTCTTCATCTATAAAGTGAGGACAAATTTAGAAGTGATGTCATGTGGAACTACAAGAATTAAATGAGAAGAGGAATTAATATAAAGTGCTTAGAACAGCACCTAGTACACAGTAGGTGCTTTTTAGTTATCACCATCATTATTATTAAGCAACACTCATTCTCTTACGATGGAAGAGAAGGAATAGAGTCTCTGTGGGAATCAGGTGGTGGTTTCTGGAAGACTGCCTCCATGAAGTCCTTGTTTAGGGACACTGTTTGAGGATAGAAATGCAGTGCTGCTCCGGGCACTAGACAAGTCGGTCTTGGAGCCCAACCCAGTGATAATGCTTCTGTATGAATGGGGATGGGATGCTAGCTGGGAACGTGATTTGTTGGACTGAACTGTCCTTTAAAAGCAGAAGTAAACTGTGATGGATAATTTTAGGTGCCATCTTCACTGGGCTATGGAATTCCCAGATAGCTGGTAAAACACTATTTCTGCATGTGCATGTTGAGGATGTTTCTGGAAGAAATTAGCAGTAAATTAGTAGCATTAGTAACGAATGTGGGTAGGCACGATCCAATCCATAGAGAGCCTGAATAGAACAACAACAAAAAACAGAGCAAGAGAGAAGTTTTTTTTTTCATTTGAACTGGGACACCCATCTTCTCCTGCTGTCAGACACTGCACTCTGGTTCTCTGGTCTGGAGACCAGAGGTGGAACTGAAGGCACTGGCTTCCTTGTGGCTCAGGTCTTTGAGCTCTGACTATATTGCATCCTTGGCTCTTCTGGCTCTCCAAATTGCAGGTGCAGAATGTGGGAGATTGTGGGCCACACAACCATATGAGCAAAATCCAATTATGAGTCCCCCCCAGATGCATCTCTATCTACTTCTATATCTGCAGCTATATCAAGAGCTCTAGAAGCTCTAGACTTGATTCTGTTTCTCCAAAGAAGCTTAACTGATACTGTAACTAAATTACACAAATGCTAGACTTCTTTAAAATTTATGAATGAAATAGCACCAGATGCATATCATTTCTCTCTCATATAAGTAACACTTCCTGAACTAGGAAGAACTCAGATAAGAACTAGGAAGAAATCTCAGATTTTCAAGATATGCAAAATTTGTTGAATAGCACTTGCCTGGCTTACCCTAAATGCATTCATTCTACCTTACAGCTCACATCTACAAAAACAAAAGAAAACATGAACAGTCACAGGAACAGCGTCAGTGAAAGACTGCCTATTTTGTTTTCTAGATTTCAAGGACTCCCCACTCATTAAAACACAGTGGAAGTTAGACTGAGAAAACCAGTCCTCATAGAAAGCTTCAAGAGAAAACGTCTGTGTTTCTGAGAGTTGATATGAAGACCTTTTGCTCCTCTTAGATCTTTTGTCTCTTCCTGTCTCTTAGAAAAATCCAAATTCAAAACATACTTGAATATTGGTTGATAATCCACCTACTTATATGCTCCATTTTAAGGCAATGAAATGCTATTATCAATCTCTTATCAGTATGTTGTTTCCTATATTATCAAAAAGGCTGAATTTATACAGAAACAGAATGGGTGAAAAGAACAGCAATAGTCACATAGACAATAATCATGTCCATCATTGTAAAAGTTTACTGGAGACATGTGTATATTGTTCAAAAGACTTTTCACTGCAGTCTGGCTCACTTATATCACTTATGCCTCACAGTAAGCTATGTCTTCTAGCGATGAGGAAATTGAGGGTTCTGTGGAGGGCCAACTGGAGGAGCATTGCCAAACACAGGAAGGGTAGCAATGATGATAGAAAAGCTGGTGGGAGTGAAAATCTGGGTACTTTCATACCAGCTAACCCTGGAGTGAAAGCCATTGTGAGGATTAAAAACAACTAACAGGAAAACAGTAAGCTTCTGGAGCAAGGAATGAACTGAGCAGACATAGCTGGACCAGGGAGGGAGAGGAGACACGGTAAAGAGTCAGGCCTTCCACATTTAAGCTCTTCCTTTGTCACAGCTGTCTGAAGTTGGGCAAGTTGCCTAACTTAGTTAAGCCTCAGTTTTCTCATTTTAAAAGTAGTGATGATAATGAGATTGATTTTCATATGGTCTTTGGGAGGGTTAAGTTTCAATGTAAAGAATTTCATAAAACTCTCTAACAGGTGAGTACCTATGTGAACTGTGAAAGGTTAGTCTTATTATCATTGAATGGGTAAAAAGAGAAAGGAGTAGGAATTCACGGTCAGTAAGTGGAAAGGTTATGTTTAATTCTGTTTGTTAATTATGGCTGTCCTCATAACACTTTATATGCTAACGTACATTGTAAAACTGCAAGAGAGAAATGCTCAGATTTTTTTTGACCAGATAACACCATTTTTACCCCCAAAAGTAGATGCAATGTCTCATGGGGCACTGTTGTTCTGCAGATCACAGACTGGGAAAGAGTTTCTATTTCACACACTTTGAACACAAGAATAGAAAAACAGATGTGAAATGTCATTCCTTGGTAATCTTCAAGCAATTATCAGCAACTAGCCTCCAAAGAAGGGCTTTTTAGCTTTACAGAGCATCATGAATGCCTTCTTTGATCCATTGTACAAAAGCAAATACCTAGGCGCTCAAATCTTGTATCCATTCACATTTTTCAATACCATCACCTTTAACACTGAAAAATGTCTCAGCAATTTTCCAAAGTGCTATAAAATGGAGTCAAAATGGCATAGCTCCAGCCTTATGAGAACACTGAATTTTTCGCATGGTTTACAACTGCCTCTTATCAGCCCATAAGGACCCTATACTCTGTGTTAGAATTGCCTTTCTCTAGCACATCCTGCTCTGGTGTTGGAATGATCAAGAACGAGCAACAGAAAAATACCCTGCCTGGAAGTTCGGGTTTTCCTTACACCGATTCTGATTCTCTTGATATACAAATATACTATACAATAATTTTCTTTCTTTAGTTAATATTTCTTGGGTTGATGACATAGTCTACATGACTTTTCAAACTGGTCATGGGCTTATTCAGAGAGAAGTTAACTAGCTTCCGTATAAATTAGACCCTTAGGCAGTGCAGCAGGAGTTGAAAGCTGAGAGCTCACATCTTCAACGGTAAACAGGAAGCAGAGAAGGCAAACTGGAAATGGGGAAAGGCTATGAATTCTCAACATCCACCCCCCTTCCCCCAGTGACACACTTCCTCCAGCAAGGTTACACCTCCTAAATCTCCACAAATAGCACTACCAGTTGGGGACCAAATGTTCAAATATTTGAGCCTTTGGAGGACATTGTCACTCAAACCACCACAGCAGGGTTGAGGAAATATACTTAAAAATGAAATCTGCAGTTAATCTTCCCTACAAAGAGTGTAGAAAAAAACCCAGTCCTATAATTGAATAATATTTTCATGCTGTAGTGTGTATTACAAGCAGTGTGCTAAATAGATTGCAAAGAGAAGAAGAAACTTTACTTTTTATATATCCAAGCAGATACAGTCTGTCACATGCAGACTAGTTGTCTTTATTAAAAAAAAAGTTCTCAACACTCCCCCTCCCCCTCAGGGAACTGGTTTCTAAGTGGGCTTCCGAAGCAAGCAGCTGCAGCAGCGCTGGACTGAACAAGGACCACCTAAACACATACTCTAAAGGGGAAACTCTATTTTTAAGAATTCTAGTCATTTCTGTTAAAAGCTAAATTTGGTCACTGCATCCATAATGGACTCTCATAAAGCCATTTTAAAAGAAAAACTGTCAAAAACAAATTTTTCAAAAGTTGAAATTAAATTGGTTATGTATCAAAAATGCTCTTGATAGCTAAAGAGAAAATAAAATCAGGTGATGCCTAAAAAAAAAGTTCTCTTATCTTTATGAGAAGCGGGAAATTATATTGTGGAGCCATGTGTTTAGGGTTAAATTCGTCAGAGACAAGGGGACA